ATGCTGGGGGCTTAAGTGGAGAGGAAATGTTTTGAGAATGATGAGGGCAATGAATGTACAATGCGCTTTACACAATTGATGTGTGTATGGACTGTGATAAGAGTTGTATGAGCCCTTAATAAAATGATAAAAAAAGAAGGGAAAATATTAAATGCTACTTGACAAAATAATAAATTGTTACTTAAGGAAAAAAAAAGTAGAAAGCAAATGTTTTGAGAATGATAAGGGCAGCATATGTACAAATGTGATGGATGGATGGATTGTGATAAGAGCTGTATGAGCCCCCAATAAAATGATTTTAAAAAGTCAAAAACAAACAAACCGAAAAAAGAACAAGGGGGTACGGTGAGGCTTAAAATGAAGACAAGTGTGTGTCAGGGTTGCACCATGTTATTCAGTTTGAATGCTGAGCCAACAATCTGAGGAGATGGATTCTACGAAGAAGACAGCTGCATCGGGCCTGTAGGCAGGCTTATCTGCAGATGACGCAACTCTCTTGCTGAAATCAAGGAGGCCTTGAAGTACTTGCTGAGGAAGATCAAGGACTGCAGCCTTCAATGTGGACCACAAACACTCAATACAAAGAACAACAACATCCTCACAAGTGGACCCAAAGCAATCATGACAGATGGAGACGAGAGACACGCAGTCAAGGATTTCATCTTGCTTGGATCCGCGATCAACGCTCATGGGAGCAGTCGTCACGAAATCCCACCAAGTATTGCATTGCACGAATCTGCTGCCCAAGACCTCTTTAAAGTATCCAAGAGCAAGGATGTTATTTTGAGGACTGAACTTCACCTGACCCAGACAATGGTATTTTCAATTCTTGCGCCTATAAAAGGACGACCAAAGCAGAACCGGTGCATTTGAGTGAGGGGACTGCAGGGCTGGGAAGGATATGGAAAGTACCACGGAGAGCAGAAGAACAAACAGCTGTCTGGAAGGACAGCCAGAATGCTCCCGAGAAGCCGTGATGGCCAGACTTGGTCTCGCCTGCCTCGGACACGTGATCCGGAGAGAAGCGGCTCTGGAAAAGGACATGGTGCTTGGGAACATGGAAGTTCAACAGGAAACAGGAAGCCCCTCAGTGAGAGGAGCTGACGCCGTGGCTGCCACAGTGGATTCAAACACACAACATGTATGTGTGTGTGCGTGCCAGGCCAGGCACTGTTTTGTTCTGTGGTACATGGAGTTGGGGTGAGTGGGAATCGGCTCGATGGCCCCGAGCAACAATCACAAGAGGGGGGATATGAATAAGGATTGAGCCTTGCCGGGAACACTTGGCATGGTTTCCTTGTCCCTAAAGTGGAGCTAGGAAGTAGGCTCACTGTAAAGATGAATGAAGTTAACATATGTGAGTGGGCTTTGTAAAGCTAAAACACATCGGCAATTTGGAAAGGCAGTAAGGAGCTCAGTGCTGCCTGGACACCTGTGACAGGGTAACACGCACAGCCTTGTCTACTCATGAGCCAAGGATGGTTTTAAGCTTCCTTTTCCTCCTGAAATACCAGCCCTGCCCTGCAGCTGCTTTTGGCTGGGGTACTGGGAAGAGATTGGAAAATTAGTCAGTGATGAATAACCCCCCAAATAACAAAGCCAGACACGCTGCCACCATATTGATTCCAACTCATAGCAAAGCGATATAGGGCCTTTGAGGGTGCACATCTTTATGGGACAGAGCCTCAGCTATCTCTGCAGGAGTTGCTGGTGGGCTTGAACCACCTATTGTTTGATTAGTGGCTCAACACTTAGCCCACAGTGCCACTAGGGCTTCTTAAATGAGCTATAATATAATTTTATTTATGTCTCTTCCTAAATCTATCTATCATCCATCTATCTATCGATCGATCTATCTATCATCTATCTATCTATCTATCTATCTATCTATCTATCTATCTATCTATCTATCTATCTATCTATCTATCTATCTATCATCTGCTATTTGGTCTGTAGTATGTCTGTTAGTGGGTTGTTTGGTCTGTCTTTCAGTCTGCCTACTGATCTGCACATGCCCCGTGCCTTCCTTCTAGGGCTTTTGTGTTTTACAAGGGAACTCCAAATCAGCGGAGGAAGGGCGGAATGGCAGGAAGTGGACACAGCATCCTTTGCTGCGGGCTGCGGTTCCTGGGACCCCATGTGTGCGGAACACAGCTGTTCCCAGGGCTTTACACAGCAGTGACGCCTGGGCAGCAGATTGTGGCTTCCAAGGCACCTGTCACCTCACTGCCATGGGGCCACTTCTGCCTCACCGGGGTCTCGCAGGACAGCACAACTGCCCTGTGGGTCTCTGGCACCGTCTTCTTCATGGAGTGACCATCTTCCTTCCCTCCGGACCTTGCAGTTAGCAGCCAGTGCACCTCCTGCGCTAAGAGGGCTCCTCAAAGCGCCCAGGGGCTCAGAACTACGTAGTCTAGCGCCTAACAGTTGGGACCACCCAGGGGGTCCACGTGCCGTGCCCCCACCCCCCCCACCCACCCCGCCTTCCTTAGTAAGTCTTTTTCTGCTGTGTTTCAGTGTTGTGGGGACAAGCAGTGGGGAGACTGGAGGCCTCACTTGGCTGTGATTCTGTCGAATCAGGCGGGGGATTCCGAGCTGCATCAGCGTGCCATTATCACCATGGGCGATACCCTGGGTAAGCAGAAGCCGGGTCTTATTCCCTCTCGCCAGCACCTTCCTCTCGACCAGAGCATCTCCAGGCAGGCTCTAACCACCCCAGATTCGGTGGGGGGGGCCAGAGTCCATGCCTGAGGCTTCCCTGGACTTGGAATCGTCAGTGTTCTGGGAAAAGAACTCCAGGGAAAGTTGTGTCCTTCTCGCCTCTCTCCTTCCCAGAATGTCTGATGTGAGCCAATGCAGGGCGGGCCCCTGGGACGCTGGTGGTGTGCGCTTAAGCGTGCGTGGGGTGGGGTGAGGGGATGGGTGTGTGTGTGAGGGGATTGCGGGGGAGATCTCCTCAGCAGTTATTTCCTACTCACTCAGAATGAGATTCCGCAGTGGATGGTGTTAACTCACGGGCCACCGTGCCTACCGCGGCCATTAGGCCTGCAGTGACCCAGCACAGGCAGACAGGAAATCCTCCGTTTGCCTGAAAATTGTGTCATCCCTTCTCTCTATCATAGCTCTGTGAACGTGGCCTCATAAAGACGGAGGGGCTATTGAATGTTCCAGATCAACGACTCTCAAATTTGTTCCATGGGGCAGAACACCTAGCAATCCTGGTGTTCTCGGCGGAACGCCTTGAAGTCCTGCCCAGGGAGCGTCCGTGTGGAGGGCGCGTCGGCAGGCGCAGGCTCCTCAGCACGCGGCTAGGCAGGGAACTTCCCCAGCTCTGCTTGGGTGCCAGGCGCCAAGATGGGTCCTTGTCATCCTTGAATTAATTCAATTGCGAGGCAACAGGAAATTCCAGGAAGACTGTTTTAACGCAGAGAAACATTTGGTAGCTGACGGGGATTTTATGAGTACCTGGAAGTCTCCTATTGTTCCTGGCACATTAGTGGCGCATTAGTGGCCCCAGACGCCTACTTCCAGAACCACTGCCCTGATAGCCCCTTTTCTGCTCAGGTGGAGGTATCTCCCCATCACATCTCATCTACAGGAAGGGCTGAAATGCGTTTTGCTAATTTCTAATAATAATCTTAAAAATTCAGGGCAACACCTCAGGTTCGCATGGAATCCAGACTTTCTGGACCCATGGAGACCAGATGAACGCCAGAAACCATTGCCCCGAGTTCATCATTTCAACCTTAGAGTCAAACCAGCCCTGGGCCTCTTCCCAAAGGCCAATGACAGCCTCGCTTACCTAGTAAGACTCTAGGGGACCCGGCTGACAACCCAGCCGGTGAAGCACAGGGGGCTGCAAACCCTTGGTGGGACCAGGGAAGAAAAAGATCACGCGATTTCTGCTCGGACCTCGGAAGTCCCCTCTTTCAGAGAGGAAGGAGCCATGGGGGTGTTGGCGGGGGGCGGGGGGGGGGCGCAGCGAGTTGAAGTTCACGGGGAGGAACCCCTCAGCAAAGGAGGCGGAGAATGAGTGTTCCACCCACAGCAGGCCACCAAGGTCGCGGAGTCGTCCGCAGCACAGAAAGCTCTCTGAAACCGCAAACGAAAAGAAAGAGCTAACAACCGGTGCGCCTGGTTCCGGCCAGAGGCCACCCGGGGAGAGCCGTGCAGGAGGCTGCTGGTGTGGGTGTGGGGGTGCAGGTCTGTGAGTTCTGGGGTAAGCAGTCCCTGCATTTCCTCCCCCCCTGCCCTCTCCGGGGACGATGCGCGCCCCGCAGCCGGGAAGGGCCTGGTGGAGGCCGCGCACTTCTGCTACCTGACAGCTCACACGCCCTTCGGCTACTACACGGTGAAGACGGACCGTTTGGCCCTGCTGGGCAGCAGTCACAGGTGTGTGGGCTTCATGGGGGAAGGAAGTGGGAAGGGCGTCTTCTAGGGAATTGTTTTAGCTCGGGCTGGCTCCTGGCTTCATGTTTTCATGTGATTGCGTGGATTTCAGCGCAGGTCCTCGCATCTAGGCTGGGGGCGGCGCCACCCACCCGCTGGGCCTCGGGTCCCAAGTCCGGCTCTGGGACGCTGAGCGTGAGCCTTTGGGGTGTACTGCTCCGTCCTGACCACTGGGTGGTGCCCAGGCTCCACAACCAGAGACAGTCTACAAAACCGAAGGGCTCTCCAGGCATCTGATGCCTGCATGTGGGGGCCCATCCTGACAAAACTAGGGAGTAAGAGAAGTTCGTGTACAGCCTCTCTTGAGGGCCGCAGCATTTCCACAATGACTTGCTGCCATAAGCTGCTCAGAGGCCCACCAAATTCACTACCATCAATCAAGTCCATTTGACTTAAATGGACCCTATAGAACAGAGAAGAATTGCCCTTGGGAATTTCCTAGGCTATAAATCTTCACTGGAGTAGAAAGCCTCATTTTTCTCCCTTGGAGCAGCTGGTGGTTTTGAACCGCTTACCTTGTGGTTAGCAGCCCAATGCATAACCCACTCCCATCACCAGGGACCTTCACAAGCATCTGGGGAAGGGTCAGGGGAGGAACAGGCCAATTTGCTCCCCAGCGACCCTCCATGTGCTGGATCTCTATTATAGTTTAGGTTTACTGAGCTCTTACATTGGTCCCTGGGTGGCAGAAGTGGTTAGGTGCTCTACTACCAGCCGTAAAGGTTGGTGGTTTGAACCCTCCCAAGGGGTAACTCAGAAGAAGGGTCTGGCGGTCTGCTTTCTGAAAGGCCACAGCCTCAAAAACCCCACAGAGCACGTTCTATCCTGAACATCTGGGTTCACCATGCGCTGAAAACGACTGCTTTTCTTTTGGGTTATGCCAGTAATTTTAGTTACAGTATAGAATTTCCTTTAGGTATGAAACATCTATTATATGAGAAACGTATTAATTTTTATTTTACACAGGAGGAAAACTAAGACTCAGAGAAGCTAAGGCAATATAGCCAGCCAGCTGACCATGGAATCTAGGCAGTGAGGCTCTAAGATCCTTATCCGGGTTATTGTACCAAAATGCCTGCCACGGCAGGACTGTAGCTCACTTCAGCCTGTTCCCTCCAGGCCCGGGTCTCTGCGGGACTTGTGTGCTTATTAGAGAAGCCTCTGGCTGGGTGACAATGGGGTTAATATAGGCCTGGGATGTCTTAGTTTCAAGCGGGAATTTCTGGAGCTAAAGTCGTAAACCAAGAACAGCCCCGTTGACTTAGATTTCAAACAGCACGATAAGTTGTGGAGGGGATAAATTTGGGGTACTTCTTTGTGGAGGTTCTTGTTGCCCCCTCTGATGCCATTCACCTAGCCCTCTTCCTGACTGGCACAACGAACACCTGGTTTCCAGGAAGACTGTTGTTTCATTTCTGGCTCTGCAGTCCTTCCCACTGTCTGCCTTGCTACCTGTTCCAGTGTCCCTGGAGCCCCCATCTTCCCCTCGGTTGTGCGGTTGTGTTTAAAGGGTGACTGCCCACAGGCTGTCGGGGCACCACGGTTTCTCAGGAGGCCCGGTGGTGCCACAATGCTTAGAGCTTCAGGCTGCTAACCTACAGGTCAGTGGTTATAACCCACTAGCTGCTCTGTGGGACAAAGATGAGACAAGCTGTTTCCCTAAGGATTCACATCTCTGGAAACGCTGTGGGGCAGTCGGTCACCCGCCGGCCCACAGGGCTGCTGTGAGCTGGCGTCCACTCGATGGCCCACATCCACAGCCACGTTGCTCAGGGCAGGGGCCGCTTTTCAGAGCGGTGCTCTCCGCTTGCATACACTGGGGTTCACTAGGAAGAGGAGGAGGACTCAGAGCCCTGCTTCCCCTGTTTAAAGTTACCCTCCAACTCAGAAGGCAGACTTTCCACCCAACCGGGCCCTTGGGACGGAGCTCCTTGAGTTCCTTCTCCAGCCTCAAGCAGGCAGGGCGAGAGGGGGCCCACACCCTGATTGAGGATTCCCTCCTCCTCCTCCCCCTCCCGTTCTCCTCTCCGCCCTCCTCCTCCATCCCAAGGGTCAGCCCCGCCCGCCCCAAATCTCTACCGCGCGTTGTTAGTAGACCGTGTCTGCCTACCTTCTAGGATTCAAAATAACGATAAAAAACACCCCATGCCCCTGCAACTCCACTCTCTCTGATTGTTCTCGCCCTGATTTTAGCCAAGACTTTGTAAAGTTTGCCGCGACGGAGGCGATCCAGAGGACAGAGATCTTGGAGTACTGCCAGATGCTGGGCCGCCCCAAGGCCTTCATCCCTTCCTTCCAGGTAGGCGCACCCAGCACCGCCTTAGCCAAGTCAGACCAGGGAGCTGCTGGCCGGCGGCTGGCGCCTCGGCATCCGCCCTGGCTCACCTCGTGCTGGGACAAGTCGGGCACGGACCCCCAAAGCCCCCTCAAGGTCTGCGATCTAAGAGACGCAGGCAAAAATCCTGCAGAGGCCTCTCTGCCCGTGGCTTCCTGCCATGAACAGAGCCAGACCCAGCTCCTCACTCCGCCCTCCCTGCTGCCTGCCCACCCACTCCCTTCACACAGCTCTGCCCTCCCCGCCCCTGCACCCAGCGCAGTGGCCATGTCCCACTCACTGTCCCAGGCCTCCCCATGTCCAGGCTGCGTGTGGTATTATTGAGGAACCCTTGCGACATTGTAGGGCAAGTCCTGGGCCGCTCACTGGAGGGTCACTGGTTCAAACCCACCAGTTGCTACTTAGGACACAAAAGAGGCCATTGGATTCCATAAAGACTCAGTGTCCGAAGCGCTGTGGACCCGCGTCCCCCGTTCTCCCGTCTGGGCTTCCTCGGAGTCAGCTTCGGCCGGCCCCATGGCAGTGGTGGTGCTTGTTCATAGAATGTGTTTGGTGTATCTGGCACTGTGCTCGTATGTTCTGTGTCATGTGGATGGTTCTATTCATGCCTCGTCTTTAGTACCTCCTACTTCAGCGGAGGACTCGGGGAGGCTCAGAGCGTGTCCTCCGATGCTGGTTCAATCCCTTTGGTCTCAACACTTGACAGATGATCTCATTTAACCAAGAAACCGAGGCAGCGAGCTCCACACCTGCTGCGGGGCTGGGGTTGGAACTTGGGTCTATCTGACTCTAAAGCCCTTAATCTTGGTCCTGCGCAGTTGCTCTCGCTCTGTGAAGGTGACCCTGTGGGACAGTGACTCCCTGGGATTGATTTCTAGAGTCTTTCTTCTCCAACCCTGTGCCCAGGTCCACACCCCACAACCCTCAGGCCCTTCTGAGCAGGACACTGCCTGGGAAGCAGGGACTCTGGTGTATTTCCATGGTGACCAGGCGGTGGGATACTGAGCAGATGCGATTTCCATCCCTTTCTGGATGCTGTAGGAACCTCGGGCTGGATTTGGAATTGTGCCCATGCACATATACCATGCCCCCACTGGCACAGGTCCTCGTTGGTATCTGGATGTCAGAGCTAGTGGAAGCTGGCAGTCAGCTGACTTCCAAGAAGTCTTATCTACATTTCTCTCTCGTTCCCTGGGCCTGGATGGACTAGTCATTGGCTCTGTTCCTCTTCACAGGTATATAAGCTCCTTTATGCTTCCCGTTTGGCTGATTACGGCCTCACGTCCCAGGCCCTGCATTACTGTGAAGCAATTGGCGCGGCCCTCCTTAGCCAGGGAGAGAGCAGCCACCCCGTGCTATTAGGGGAACTCATCAAGGTGAGCTTCTCAAAGGGGTTCTTTGCAGGTGTTTTATCTTCCACGTTCAGAGAAAGTCGTTGTAAAGCAGCTTAGGCTCTACATTCCATCTTCTCTGAACACGCTCTAAAACTGGCGCACATCGCTGTCTTTGACCATGCCTGCATGCCCAGATGCGATAAGCAGAGGCCCGACACTGTGCCCAAAGGAAGATGCTTGGAATGGGGGTGGGGGTGGTTGTGTGTGTGTGGAGGGGCTGATATGGGGGGCGGGTGCTTGAGACCAAGCATTCACAATGAAAAATCCATTCTCTCATATGCCTTTCTCCGATATTAAAACTGCAAGCTACTGTGACCTGCTCTAATTATGGAAGCTAGGCTTAGGAAATATGTTTTAGTGGCTAAAACAGGAAATGATCCTGATTAAAAGGCCTCGAGATTCACCCAATATTTCATCACCTGTGGGACACATTTAAAAACAAAAGAAAACAAAGGCATCAAGCAACAGTTCCCCGGGACGGAAACATCTACCAGGCCCATAGTTGTTCCAATTAATTTAAGAAAACTCCATTAGCTGGAGAGTTATGAAAAAAATAAGCAGGCTTCTCTCTAATTTTGTTTTGTGTTTAGAAGAGGCCCAAGTGCTGGACTCTTCATCAACAAGCATCCGTGGCTGGGGGCTGGGTGTCGGATGGCTCTGTGGGTTAGGCATTGGGCTGCAAACCCCAAGGTGGGTGGCTCCAACCTAGCAGTTGATGGGTGGCAGAACGTCGACGCTGTCTCCTGTAAAGATTCACCTCTCAGAAAGCCTGTTGGGGTCTCAAGGAGTCGGGATCATGACCATGGACTTAGGCCTCCATCCCTTGCATGGAGCTCAGTGACCAGATGAGAGGAGTTTGGGGATTTCCCGCTGCCACCTGTAGATCTTGGACCAGCAGCAGCACCTGGGTGCTTGGTACAATTGCAGAACCTTGCCCCCCACCTAGAACTACAGAACCAGCAGGGTCTCCTAAGCTGGACTCCAGGTGACTCCCAGGTTCCCTCAAGCTGGGGAAGCTCTGCTGCTAAACACCAGCTTTGCAGAGAAAAACCAGCCCGGTCAGAGCATGCCTCCCCTTTAGTGTAGCATCTAACACCCATTTTAGGAGGCTGTGTGCTGAGCTTGCTGTTTCTCAATTATTCTTTAGCGTCATCATTCATAGGCATTAAAGGAGTCCAGTGGTGGTTCCACGTTGGGCTGCGAGCCACAAGGTCCTCAGTTCGAAGCCACAGAGAAAGACAGGGCTCTCTGTAGAGTTGCAGTCTCGGAAACTCACAGGGGTGGTTCTACCTTGTCCTGCCCGGTCACTGTGAGTCAGCTTCCAGGCGATGGCAATGAGCTGCGCATGTGCATCAAAGTTCTCTCTTTTCTTTCCCCACATCTCTCTATTTCCCCTCTTCATTCCATATCCATTTTCCTCTTTTCCTTTTCTTCTCTCCCCTTCTTCTCTGGACTTGTATGGAAACCTGGCGCAGTTATCGGAAAAACTGAAGCTGTCTGACCCTCTGTGGCTGGAAAGACGCCGCCGTGGAGACAGGGACCCCGAGCCTGATTGGCTGGTGAAACTTCGGAGGCAGCACCAGGAGCTGGAGGTGAAAGAGGTGGGCCCCGAAGTCGGCCAGCTGGGCCTTTGTGCCCTCTGCACTCCCTGTCCCCCACCCTTCACAGCTCAGCAGCTGTCATCAGCCGGGCTCAGTACTAACCTTCAGTACTGAAGCTGTGGGGTCTCCTATCCCAGATGAGTCTGCCCTGGGGAAGAGTGGGAGTCAGGGTACCCCGTTGTCCCCTCACCTGTGCGCTGTTCTTCCCCGGATCCTTCTTCCATTCTCGAGCCTACCACCCTTCTCCGAGGGCCCAGAAAATTCGATGCATGACCATCAAAGCCTCCACATCCGTGTTAGGAACCACGGATCACAGCAGGCCGTTTCACTTTCATGTTATGTAGGGCAGTTGCTTCAAAGATCTCCAGCCTTTCTCTTTTGTTCTGACCATCGCAGGAGCTGCAGGTTGTGTTTGGAGCAGCCATGAGGACGGGGTTGCCTCCGTTTTTTTTCCTTTTTTTTCCGGTCCTCCACTTTGTTCTGAAGAAAGGACAAGGTGGATTTCTGAAATCCTGCGTGGGCCCTCCCTCCCCCATCCCTGTGCACTCAGAGGTCAGAGGTTGGGCCCCAGGCCCCCTTGGTCTGTGCCGAGCAGAGCTGGGAGACAGACGAGACCTTGGTCCTTACTCGCCTGGTCCACGGGGCGCTCAGCTCGCTATGGCCACTCAGAGTGTCCTTTCGACTTGCTCTGGTTTTCCTTTGCACCACTTAAAAGGGTTTTCTTTTCTCTCAAATAGCCGAAGGCTGCAGAAGACATTGGTCAGCTCTATTCTGCTGGGCCCAATACTTGGGGAGCCCGAGGGACAGCAGGCACCCACCCTTCGGAACGGAGCCTGAACACAGCTGGATCCCAGGATCTGCTCGCGCAAGGCACGGTCGCAGGTTCTGGAGTCGAGTTAAGGGAAGGGTATCAAAGAGTTCACCTGGGAGCGTGCTAACGTCCTGCAGCCATGGCTCCTCACAGCCGAGAGCAAGGACTTGGATCTGCGAAACACGGCAGTCTCCTTCTATGACGGCCTTTGGAGAAGTTAGTTGAGGAAAAGGGATAGAGCTCTTGGAAAGTTGTCATTTCAACAGAGGTAGAGCCTTTCGAAGTGGGAGGGGTTTGTGATTGGGCCAGGCAGCCTTTCTTTCATCTGAATAGATCCACGTGTTCTTGGCTTTCCTGTGATACGGTCTCAAGAGAATGTAGGTTTGGAAAGTATCGGTTACGTAAGGTTTAGAGGTGGAAGTCTCTGGAGCTTGTCTGAACTGGCTGTGGTCATTGTCTGGTTGACAAAATAATTTGACTTTCCCTTCTGCAGGACCTTCCTTCCTACTCTGTCTGCCTGTGGAAATCTGACCCTTCTTCCTGTCTGGGCAGAGACCCACCTCCTCCCCAGAGCACTGTCCACATGCGTCCTGTCGCTTCTCGAGCTCTGTGTCATTCATCACTCTCATCGTGACTGCCTCGCCATTCGGGTCTTCAACGCTGTGCCCGTTGTATGCTTACGTAACCGCTTTGCCTACTTCCGCGCCGCCTCCTCTAGGTCAGTGTCTTACCGTCACAGAGATGCGGTGATCTGCATTTTGGGTTAGTGTTGGGGACACTGTTGGTCGTAGCGACTCTGGAGTTGGTACAATGGAGCCGAACACTGCTTGGTCCTGGGCCCTCCCTCTGGTGGGTCTGGGAGTGAACCATCGTGATCCAGAGGGATTTCATTGGCTGACTCTGAGAAGATCACCAGGCCTTTCTGACTAGTTTGTCTTGGTCTGGAAGCCTCTCTGCCACCTGTTCAGCATCATGTGGTTAAATGTGTGGCGTCTGCTGCACCTCACAGGGACGCTGTGTACAACAGCACGTGGCCTGGGCCTGTTCCATCTTCATAGCGCTCTCATGGTTGAGCCCATTGTTGCAGCCAGTGTGCCAATGCTAGCAGTATGCAATGCCTTGGACAGCTGGTTGGCATGGGGAGGCGGGGCCTTGAACCTGAGTCCCCCACATGGAAGGCGAGAATTCCCCCAGTGAACCGCCACAGACGCCGCTATTGGGGACATAGGAAACTCTCAGGGTTTAGGGGTGCTTAGTTGCCAAATAAGAGGTGGCTTCAAAAAGTTAGTGGGAAAGTGGAGTGAAAAGATAATGGAATTTCCCCAAAGTCTTTGAAGTCGCTTCATATTGCAAACCGAGGAGCCGCTAGCTGGTGGGTCCAGCTCGGCAGTAGTAGTATCCCTAGCCCATGCCAAACCCTTTCCTCAAGTCACACCCTCGGTCAGATGGGCACAGGCCCTCAGCTCTTCCACGCCAGGCACTTCCGAGCCACTTGCACTCTCTTCATTGAGGAGCCAGGGCCCCACAAGGACAGGGCCCTTTCTCAGCTGTGTCGCAGGGTCTGCGAGTCTGTGAAGGGGTGGAGGAGAGGCAGTGAGGCAGTCTCTGGAGAGCAGCTTCCCAAGACATGTTACCCCACTGTGTAGGTGGGTCAGCCACCACATATGCCCGTGAACTAGGGTTAATTTCGTGTCTCCCCAAAGAAACCAGAAACTCGACACTGATTTGGTCCCATCTTGCACGTATTGGAGTAGAACTATGTTCCATGAGATTTTCAGTGGCTGAGGTTTTTGGATTCTTCTAAGTACCTCTGTAAGGACTTGAACCTCTAAGTTTTTGCTAGCAGACCAGAGTGGCAACTGTTGCCCCACTCAGGGACTTCCTACCGTACCACCTTATCCTCTCAGTCGCTTTCGGTACCACCTCCATCCTGTCCAGGGCAAACACGCTCTGATTCTCGGAAAACAGAGCCATCATTTTCTGCCATCGGACTTAGGGTTTTAATGGGAAACTTTGCAGGCTTTAAATCCCAAGACATCTGGGGATTTCTTAGGGGATAAAGAGCTTTTTGAAAACAGAAGGGTGTGGCGTAAGTTGGGAGTGTCATTTCTAGCCACTGGCGGGAGTCCCCTGGTTTCAGGCTCAGAGACAGTGAGAGGTGTGCGATCCCTGCTGTGCACCGTTTGTCCTCACTTTGGTGGAAGCCACACCCTCAGCCTGTCCTTGAGCCAGTTCTGCAGAGAGCACCTGGGCGGGGGTGGGGGGTGGGTGGGTGGCCTTCTCGTCTCTGTGGATGCCATCTCTCATTCTTCTTCATTTCCCTTTGCTTGTAGAAAATGCTTACTACCAGAATCCTTCTGGATACCCAGCCTACTCAGAGCCCCTTGGGTACCATTCAGGCCAGAGCCAGTCCAACCCCCAGCTGCCCCTTCCCTTGCAGCGGGGCTCCTACCCACTGGGAGGAGGTCCAGGGCAGATGGGGGCACCAGTGCCTCTGTATGGGGTGCCTGAGACCCACCCACCAGGGATTGGCAGCGGCACAGCAGTGACAACAGCTCCTGGAGCCAGGGCCCAGGAGGATGCCCTGCAGGCACACCCACCCCCTGGTAAGACTGACTGGTGGCTGGGCTGGAAGCCTTGGGGGAGGGAGAAGCAGGGACCATTCGCAGGATGTGGGGTTGGAGCTCGTGGGGACATGCATGGTGGGGTGTGCACATGTCCGAGGGCCTACTGAACATCAGCCACTGTGCTCTACTCTTCAGGTGTCAGAAAGGGGTTGCTGTCTTATCACCTAGCCTATGGAATGTCCCACTCTACCGGGACAGGGACAAGCATAGCAGACAAACAGCAGCCCCCAGGATGGAGAGCATGTCTCCTGTAACTTGCATGTGAGGGTGTGTGTTGCCTTTGAGTCAGTCACCTCTGGCTCAGCACAGCCCTGCTCAGAACAGAAGGAGACGGTGCTAGGTTCTACACCATCCTCACCACTGTTGCTGTGTGTGAGTGCATTGCTCCAGCTGTTATGTCAATCCATCTCAGGGGGGGGTCTCCCTCATTTTCATTGACCCTCAACCGTACCTGCCGTGGTGCCCTTTTGCAGCACGGCCTGGGAGTGTAGGCAAGTCCTTTTTCTAAAGGTGCCCCGCACCCAGAGGTTACTCTGATGGAACCTTGGCAGAGGCTGGGATTCTGCCCGTGACTCTGAGCATCTTCAGGCCCGTCAGGCCTGGGACCCTGGGGGCTGAGCGATGCCGGGGAGGGACTGGAACCCAATCAGAAGTGTTAGCCCTTAGACCTTCTAAGATGAGGCCCTGCCCAATAGGGAGACTCAGACGGAGGGGAAGGTAGTGGAGAATGCCCGTGAGTGGTCAGATCACTCAGACTTCCAGATTTTGGAAGCAGTGGGCCTGGTGCTTGGTGGTAATGGTTGGGGGAGGTGTGTCTTAGGTGTAGCAGGGACTGAGAGGAGCCATGTGCGCTGACTTCTCATTTTATGGCCCCTCCCTTTGGGTCATGGGCTTTGAACTCCAGCAGTGGCTAGAGTATCCACCTAGGCCCCCAGCCCCCTTCTTTCAGGGTGAGTGGAAGGAGTCTTCAGGCTGCTGTTGTTGTTTTGTGCACAGGAGAGTCCACTGTGTCTCAAGATCCCTTCCAGCACCTAGAGGATCCCAAGGTAATTTCCCAATGATAGGTGGGAGGTCAACATAGTTCAAGATGCTGATATCACCCTAATGCTTCTGATTTTCAGCGGGAAGCCAGGCAAACCCCTTGCTTACCCTTGTGCCAGGGTCCCTTGCACCTCACGGTTCTCCTCACCTGTCTCTGTGTCCTGCCCTGGGAGCAGGGGCAGGGGGCTGTGCTCCTCCTGATGCTCGATCCCACCACCCTGCCTCACAGCCTGGAGGGGCCTGCAGAGCGGTTCCCAGTTTGCTTTGCTCTCAGATTCTGTTCCTGTGGATCGCCGACTCCTCCCTGTGCAGCACTGTATGCTTGCTGTCCGTCGGCCTCTGGAAGACTCTGAAGATGCACTTCTCTATTTCCATGTTAACTCTCTGTGTGACGCCTGCAATCCTGCCTCGGTCGGGCTGGAAGGTTCTGGGAGTAGGTGACCAGGTCTCGGGACCTGATCCCTTGTCAGAGCCGTTGGTGGTGATAGCCAGGCACCATCTAGTTCTTCTGGCCTCAGACTCAGGGCAAACGATGTTTGCATGGTCCCTTAGACCACCGGATTAATTGTTTCCCTCTATCTTTTAATTTTTATTGCTCTTCTTTCCTCTGGATGAGGAGAGACTAATAGTTGCACTTTGAATGGCTAATCACAAACTTCGAAGACCCCTGTTGCTACTCAGCAAAGTATGATTTAGAACACTAGCTTTTTGAACAATGTTTTGCCAGTTGACCTTGATGTTCCCTGAGACGATGGTCATGAGTCCCCAGGACCAGTGAATCATTCCCTTCCCTCTTTATTTCTCTTCTTTCTGCACCCCCCTCCCCCTCCCTCTATTTCTTTCCTTCCTTTCTCTCACTTATTTCTTCCTTTTCTACCCACTTCTGATTTTATTTATTTCCTTTAAAACAATCATATATAAGACACAGCAATGGACTCCCTTACTCACTCCCTGCTCCAGGCTTGGCATGGTTCTGGAGACTTGATGTTCCTAGTTCTAGAGAGTTGGCACAGCAGATACAACTCTAGGATTAGGGGTCCTCTGAGCGTGGGGTTGGGGCTCTGGCTTTGTCTTGGGACCTCCAGCAAATCCTTTTTTCACATCTAAGCCTTCCTTAGAAAGATGTAAGATTGGTTGAGCAGGTGGGATGAGGGAGTGTATATAAATATTCCTTTCTTACATGCCAGAGGCTATACAAACGTTAGGTCTTTTCTTAAATTCCAGGCCCCAGTGGCTCCCAGGGCACGGACCAATTCGGAGAGCTCCACAGCTTCAGTCAAGGAGGCTGAGGTGTCCTCTGACGAGGAAGATGGCACGTCTCCCCAAAATAATGCTCCGAGAGAAAAAGCAGGAAGTGTGAAAGCGAATGCCAAGGTGGAGGGGATTGTGTTCCCATCTCAGCATTCCCTCTACTTCCCTGAGGGAATGGTATTTCCCTTGTCATGATCCCTCTCCATTTATTTCCTTTCCCTCTCCTTCTCTTCCTGAAAGGAGAGGAGGTGGGAGTCTGGCTCTAGGGCATGTTCTCTCCTCTCCCCACCTTCCCATGATCACACGGGTGGGGGAATCTCGTGTTCACCAGGAGAAGCAAACCTAGAGGAGTGAGACCTCTCCACCCCCTTCTAGAGCTCACGATTTGGATGGTTCAGCTGGTTTCGTTCGAAACCTAGCAGTGCATCGACCTCTGGAGATGAAGACTCCGGCGACAGTCCTGACTCGGAGGTAACCGCGCAGGGTGTGGGGGGGGAGGCAGGCAGGACGCTGTCCCTTCCATGGGCATTTCTTTCAGAGGGCCCCACCTCCACCCCAGTGCCACAGAAACAACGATTTTGTGATTGGAGTTGTGGGAGAGAAAGTAGCAAAAGCAAAGGCAGATTATTAAAAGCCCTGAAAGTTAGGGTAGAGAATTTTAATTTTAGAGGGTCCGTGGCAGGAAGAGAATTTGGAAAATTGAGTAAATGAGTGCACGAGGAAAGTGGTGTTTGGGGGAGAACAGCGGGGACATTGGACATATTTCAGGAGGCACTAGATCCTTGGTAAAGAACAGGGACAGCAAAAAAGAGGAAGCCCCTCAACCAGATGGGTTGACACGTGGCTGCCACAATGAGCTCAAACCCAACAGCACTGGTGGAGATGGGGCAGGACCGGGCTTAGGATGTAGCAGGACCTACTCGACGTCACCTTTCAATAACAGTAGCAGCATGGATTCTGAACCAGCAAACTCACTTTTCTTATTCCACAAAGCCTTCTAACTTCAGATTATTCCCTTGGCAGGAGACCCGCAGAGCATCTTCTCCCCCACAAGCTGGCCCAAGCCTCTCCCTGATGCTGCCCACTGGGCCCCAGCCTCTGCTGGGTCCCAGTGCCTTCTCCCCAAGCACAGGTACTGCCAGCCTTCTGTCTTCCAGGGAGAGTGGGGTGGCTTCTGGATATGGGGGCTCCTTAGTTCCGAGCAAGAGAAATAGCTACATTGCTTTCCAGATAGTGGTGAAGTCCAAGGATCTGTGCCCAGTGGGGGACCCACCGAAGGTACTGGGGTTGGAGGCCAGCAGGGGCTTCAGGTGAGTAGCCCACAGGCTCCAGGTGTCTTCATGTGTGAGTGCTGAAGCTGTGGGGCTGATTCATGAGAAATACCGGAAAGATTCCTTCTAGGTAGGAGCTCTGAAGCACTTCCTCTTTCCATTTCCCAGTAGCAGCTAGAATTCATCCAGGTGCTTGGCAGAATGCAACCCAACCCAACCCAACCCAACCTAACCAATTGCTGTCAAGTCAATTCTAAGTCATGGTGACCCTTCCCATTGCTTTTTAGGGTGTTCATGGCTGTAACCACCAAGATAATAAATCTCTAGGCCTTCTTTTCATGAAGTTCTGTGTGGGTTCACACCTTTAGGCTAATAGTTGCATACGAACTGTGCCATTCAGGGACCTTCTTCCTTGGCGAAGTGGCCCACCCATCTGGATCTTACGCCAGTTTCTATGAAAACCTTTTTTCTTGTGGTCTGGTTAATGCACTAGTGTAGTTTCCTTTTATGATGACCTTAGTGTGATGCTGTCGGCCTTTTCCTTTGGACTGGCTCCCGCTTGCGGACGCCTCCATCTTGGCATTGCCACTTCCGACCAGGGGCTGACTGTACTCACTTTCACTGTACTTGTTTGCCTGAGATTTCCTGCAGAAACCCTTCCCAGCTGCTTTTCCTGGCCAAAGCTGATGCATACTGGAGTCTGGGAAGCTGAGGGTCTCGACAGACGTAATTTTCTATTATTTTTCACAACAGGGTGTTTCCTCTGAGCCTTACTTCAATCCTGGTGCCCTGCTTCTTCCACCCATCTTGAACGGGGCGGTTCCCCTGTACAATCCATCTCAGGTTCCTCAGGTAAGAAGGATTAGGAGTACTGGCTTTGGATGAGGGAGCCCCGAGTTTCACTCCCAGGCTACCCCCTTATTGCTTGTGAGTTTCTGAGTGATTACTTGACCTCTCCAAGTCTTAGTTTCTTCATCGGTAGAATGGGCTTAGTAGTAAAGACTTCAGAGTGTCCCCTGAGGATCAAATGGGATAATGCCTGTGGAGGGCTTGGTCATGGAACGTACTCAATCAACACAGCTTCTTTAAACATGGCTCTTGACTTTTAATCAGCCTTGAGAGACACAGTAGGTGCTGGTCTCAGAGCTATGGGTGCACTGTCTGCTCCTCCTGCAGGGGAGGGTTTCATTGCTGCCCCTGAGAAATGCTTGGCTCCTTGGTTCTCAGGGATCTGGAATAGACTTAGCTCTTCTAGTGGGTTATCTGGCTTTCCCTCTGTATAAAATCAGATTTCTATTGAACCCTACTTGAGTGGTCCAGGTGTTGGGTGAAGTTGGACAGAGAGGACACTGCCTCTGGGAACCAGCTGCAGGGGATGATTTTTGGCTCCTGGGGAGCCCTTGCTCCATCTGCCGGCCAGCCCGTGATATGTGCAACTTCTTTTTCAGCTCTCCAGGACCATGGGCCAGAGTCGGCCCAACCGCCTTGCTCAGCGCCGCTATCCAACCCAGCCCTGATGAGACGGCTCACTCATTCTAGGCTTGTGGTCTCCTTGGGAGGGTGACTTTCTTCAGGTTGATCTCTGCCTCTCAGTCTCCCAGTCACTCTGCCACTGCCAGGGCCAGGCACGCCTCTTGCCTTCATCGAACACTGAGAAGACATGGAGATGGGGTTGTCCAAGATGCACTTCGGTTCAGCCTCTTCAGAGATACTCTCGAACTGGGGACATTATTTTGCTGAGTGAGAATGCGAGGTGAATGAGCGGATGGCAAGTGCACAGACTGCCAGGGGGGGATGATGGCCGGATGTTCTCAGGAAGGAATTCCCCTGCTGGAATCAATGCTGCCACCACTGGGCTCTGCAGCAGGAAATGGTCAGGGGGGTGGGGAGAGGCTCAGAGCAATCTTCTCTATTAATATTGGCTTCTCCCTCTGTCTTTGTTGTAGTCTAGCATGTCGCTCAAGCTAGCAAAGCGTTTGGATGGAAACTTGATGACTGCTTCCCTTCATATTCCCTCCTCAGTGATATCTCAACAGTCTCCACTTGGTCCTAGATTTGTGCATATTTCCACTGTGGTTCCGATTAATTATATTACTCCCACTTTCTTTGCTGGTCCCCTTTCTGCCCACCCCAACCATGTGCACAGTGCCCACCTCCCCACCCCCATTCTGGCATCTGGCTATCAAGTTAGATTGCTGTAGGCATCATATTGTCATGGTAACTACTGAGCCTAATGATGCAGATGGATGGAATATCAGTATAATAAATGATGGGAAAGGTTTCCTGAAAATCCATCTCTTCCATAGCAGGGGAAAAATGAGTGCCTGATGTGATTAAGTCCTCCCTTCCTACCCCAGGCCTTTGCAAATGGATGTTGGGAGGGTCACTGCAGCCAGACTGGGCAGGGGCCATCTTGGAGATTTCCATTTCTTCTTTCAGACCCCAAACAGGAAGGACTTTTTCTGGTTGTCAGATGTGTGCTGAAAATGCTGCTCACAAAGAACCATCTTTTTTGTATGTGTAATTGTACATACAGGTTTTGTTCTTGAATGTACTATGGTTCTGCTGTTGATAGCGATTAAACCCAGATAATTTTATAGCAAATGCTGTCTCTGGCTGATTCTCGCCGTGGGAGAAAGTACATTTAGTGAAGTCTGCCCTGAAGTCTTTCTATTCATGGTCTTATTGTGTGATCAGCTGTGAATAGCTGGGAAGAGCTCTTTGTTAATGAAGAATCTAGAAGGTGATCCTCTTAACTCTCAAGCCTACTCTAATGTTCTTATTTTTTCTTAAAAAAAGGAAGAAAAAAGATAGTTGGGACAAAAGCTTCTCTGACAATAGAAGGTCTGAGACACAGAGCAGAAAAATCTGTAGAATAAAATTCAAAATGTAAAAAAAAGACCAAACTTTCTGGTCTGATAGAGACTGGTGGAAGCACTGAGGTTGTGCCCTTTAGATCTCTTTCAAACCTGGAGTGGAACCCATTCCCTGGGATCAACTCAGCCAAACAAATAGCTAGGCTGGTAAAATGTCTAATAACACCCCACATCATCCATCACATGAGACCCAAAGGGCAGCATTTCCCCTTAAACAATGTTCAGTTGGCAGGAGGGAGCAGGAGGAAAGGCGATTGGAACAGGAGAGTCAGGGAGGGTGTCAGAAGAGTGAGGCTACATTGAGGGGTTGGCAACCGGTGTTACAAAACACAGTGTGTAGAAATTGTTAAGTGGGAAATGAGTTTTCTTTGTAAATTTTCACCCAGACCCCTCCTGTCCCCGGTTGCCACTCCTCCATCCCCCAAATCCCATCCCATCCAGTTTTCCTTGAATCCTTGGGCCAGGTTATTTACCTGCCCTGTTGTTGAGGCAGTGGATTATTTACTGTGGCTCTTCTAGCCAAAGTCTCTAACTCCCATCAAATGACCCTTCCCTGCATGGGCCTGGGTAAGAAGGTGGGAGAAGATACTGATAAGATTCAACTGTGAGTAACTGTAACCAGGATTAATTGGCATGCCATTGTGTTGGGTATAAAATGAGTCCTCTGAGAAGCAGGAGGAAGGATCTAATCACCAGCAGGAACTAGGTGTGGAGTGCATCCTCTGGACCCCACATAGGGAGAACCTTCTCAGAGGACAACTGTACCATTAAAGGAACAGCAGCAGAATCAGAAGTCAGAGCATGGAACAAAAGAAAGTGGACTTCTCTGAACTGACTTCCAGAAAGATGGTGATTTAGTAACACACACCAGAGGGACTCCACAGAAATCAGTGCAGTAGAGTTACTAAGAGGTAAAATCCACACTGCCATATTGTAGGAGGAGCATCATAAAGACAAGTAGGCACAGATCCACTAGGGTTTGAGGAGCTGGGGCTTTTGGCTTACCACAGTGGAGGCCAGCTAGCATTTGACCTTAGCCCTGTCACTGTCTCAGCCGAGCCTGGATCATTTGGAGCCAGCCCAAGAGTTTTATCTCAACATAGCCACAGCTGGACACTGCCTCAGGGCAGGGTTTAAACCTCTCCAGCCCCATGGTTAGGGATCTGGACTCAGCTATATTGTTACTTTTGTTTCCCTCCCTCCTCTCTGTCCCCACAGTCACAGTGGGCTTAGTTTATTTTTTTTCTTTTTCTCTTCCCTTTTCTCTCACACACCACTGCTGACCTCTAGACCACTCCCCTTAGCCTAGGGCATTTACACCATACACCAAAGGGAACTACAAGAGCTTAGTGACGAGATAACAAAAACCAGAAGCAGACTCACAGACTTCACCAACTGACTGGAGGAGGCAGAGAACTGCATCAGTGACCTAGATGACAGCCAAGCAGACTTTAACAAAGGTGAACAAAAATATAATAAAATCATCAAAGAAGCTGAAGAAAACATAAGAGCTCTGACTGATGCTATGAAGAGGAACAACATCAGAATAATTGTATTACCTGAGGAAAACAAAACGAAGTCATCTGCAACAATAGAGAATTCTTAGAGGAAAACTTTCTCAGCTTCATGAATGAAAACCAGGCAACCAGGCAGGAGGCTGAAAGAACACCAGCTAGACTGAATCCCAAGCAGAAGTCACCAAGGCACATAATAGTTAAACTATCCAACAATTATAGTAGGTGACTTCAATACATCGCTCTCTGAGAAAGATAGATCACAGAGAAAGTAATTAAACAAGGAGGCTAGAGATCTAAGCACTACAAGTAGACAATTTGACCTGATAGATATTTACAGAGCTCTTCATCCAAATACAAAAAATTCACATTCTTTTCAAGAGACCACATGCTGGGGCATAAGGCAAATCTGCATAAATTTAAGCACATTGATGATATACACACCTCTCTCTCTGACCACTGTGCCATAAGGCTGGAAATCAACAAAAGGAAGATGAAAAATACAAGAGCAAACAATTGGATGATGGCTAACTCTCTATTGCAAAAGGAGTGCGTACGTACTGGCCCAGGTCAGAGGTGAAATTAGGAAATTCCTAGAAACCAATGAGAATGAGAACACGACGTACTAAAACTTACAGGACACAACAAAGGCAGTTATCAGAGGAAGTTTCATAGCACTACATGCACACATGAAAAATGAAGAGAGACTTATGATTGATATGCTGGCACAAAATTTATAGCACCTAGAGCAGAGTCAACAGGACAAGCCTACTAATAGCAAAAGAAAAATAATAAAAATAAGGGCTGAGATTCAGGAGAGGGAAAATAATAAAACTATGGAAAAATGCTGCTAAAAGCTGGTTCTTTGAAAGGATAAACAGAATCGACAGACTGCTGGGAAACCTAACCTAAGAAAGGAAGGAACAAATTTCAATAGCAAGGTTGAGGGATGAAAGAGGGGACATTACAACAGACCCTAATGAAATCAAAAGGATAATTACACAGGACTACAAAGCGCTGTACTCCAAAGAATTCAACAACTTGGAAGACATAGACAATTTCTGGAAAAACAAGACTATCCCTAGACTATCCTCGAAGGACATCAAGAATCTCAACAGACCCACAGCAATAGATGAAATAGACAAGATTATCAAGGGATTACCAACAAAAAAATCTCATAGACCAGATGGCCTCAGAGGAGAATTCTACCAGGCATCGAGGGAAGAACTGACATCAATCCTATCCAAACTCTTCCAGAACATAGAGAAAGATGGCAAACTCCTGAACTCCTTCTATGAAGCTAGTATAACTCTGATACTGAAACCGGGCAAGGATCTCACAAGAATCGAGAACTACAGACCAATATCCCTAGTGAACATCAATGCAAAAATCCTTAACAAAATACTCGTCAATAGAATGCAAAAGTAAACAAAACAAATAATTCACCATGACCAAGTGGGATTCATACCAGGGATGAAGGGATGGATCAACATGTGAAAGACCATTAGTATCATTTGTCACATTGACACAAAAAACTATAAGAACCACATGATAATATAGATAGATGCAGAAAAAGCATTAGACAATATCCAATATCAATTCCTGTTTAAGATACTTAAGAAGATAGAAATGGAAGGAAAATTCCTCAAGATAATACAAACTATTTATGAAAAACCAACCGCTAACATGTTAGTGAATGGAGAAAAGAGGAACACAATCCCACTGAAAAAGGGGACCAGACAAGGATGCCCTTGTCCCCACTCTTATATAGCATTGTACTGGAGGTTTTAGCTAACAGCATAAGGCAAAGAAAAGGCATCAAAGGTATTCACCTGGGGAAGGAAGAGGTGAAAGTATCGTTATTCGCAGGTGATAAGATTTTATGCATGGAAAATCCCAAAAGCTCCACAAGGGGAGTACTGGAAGCAATAGAGGAATATGGCAGAGTGACAGAATACAAGCTTAACAAACAGAAGTCTATTGGACTGCTGAACACATTGGATAAGAACACAGAAGAGGATATCAAAAAGGGGGTACCCTTCAAAATAGCCAAGCACAAATAAAAATATCTAGGGATATACCTGACTAAAAGAAGAAAAGATTTATGTGAGGAAAACTACAGAACACTATTAAAAGAAACCAAGAGTGACAGAGGTTCAAGTCAGCTTCAGAAGAGGATGTAGAACTAGGGATATAATCATTGTGGTCAGATGAATCTTGGTTGAAACCAGAAAATACCAGAAATATGTTTGCTTGTGTTTTATTGACTGTGATAAGGCATTTGACTGTGTGTACTATAGGAAAATATGGGTAGCCTTAAGAAGGATGGAAGTCCCAGAACACGGCATTGTGCTCATGCAGAACCTGTACATGGAGCAAGAGGCAGTTTTGTGAACTGAACAAGGGCATACTACATGGTTTAAAATCAGGAAAGGTGTGTACCAGGGTTGTATCCTCTTGCCATACTTATTCAATCTGTATGCTGAACAGATCATCAGAGAAGTTGGACTATAATGAAGAAGAATGTGGCATCAGGATTAGAGAAGGCTTATTAACAACCTGCCATATGCAGAGGTTACAATCTTGCTTGCTGTAAGTGAGGAGGACTTGAAGCCCTTGATGATGAAGGTCAAGGATTGCAGCCTTCGGTATGGATTACAACTGAATGTAAAGAAACTGGGCCAGTAGGTAGCATCACTGTCAATGGATAAAAGACTAAAGTTGTCAAGGAAAAGACTGAAGTTGTCTTGCTTGGATTCACAATCAATGCTCATGGAAGCAGCAGTCAATAGATCAAATGACACGTTGAATTGGGTAAATCTGCTACATGAGACCTATTTAAAATGTTGAAAAGAAGGATATTACTTTGAGTATTAAGGTGCACCTGACCCAACCCATAGTATTTCATTCACCTCATATGCATGTGAAAGTTGGACATCGAATAAAGAAGATTAAAGAAGAATCAATGCATTTGAATTATGATGTTGGCAAAGAATATGGAAAGTACCATGGACTGCTAAAACAACAAGCAAATTGGTCTGGAAGAAGTACAGCCAGAATGCTCTGTAAATACAAGGATAGTGAGAATTTGCCTTATGTGAGTTGGACATGTTGTCCGGAGAGACCAGTCTCTGGAGAAGGACATCATTTTAGTAAGGGGCAACAAAAAAGAGAAAGGGCGTCCATGAGATGAATTGACCCAGTGGCTACAACA